GAGGGAGACACAAAATCCGAAGCAGGCTCCAGGCTCTGAGCTGTCAGCACAGAGCCTGATGCGGGATTCAAACTCATGAACCGCAAGATCATGACCTGAGCTGAAGTCGGACGCTCAACCGACTGAGCCACCCAGGCACCCCGGTTTTTTTGGTTTATTTAAAAATCTCTCTTCACTCCAGGGTTATAAGTGCTTTTTAAAGTTTCCTGTACTATCTTCTTGGGGGTTTTGCTCTATATTTAAATACTAAGCACACCTAAAATTTATTTATTTTTCCCAAGATTTCATTTTGGAAAATTTTCAAGCATACAGAGAGCTTGATAGAATTTACAGAGGCTAGCCATTACCCACCACCTAGGTTTTAGAATGAATACCTTGCTCTGTATGATTTATTATATAACCATCCATCTGAGCTATCCCTCTGTCCATTCTTCACTCCATCCTATTCTGTTGATGCATTTCCAGATTTCATGTACCTCTTGGCCATCTGTATGACTTTGGAAAAATGTCTAGTCAGATCCTTCACCCATTTTGTAATCAGGTTGTTTGTTGTTGATGCTGAGTTACATGATTTCTTTGTCTATTTAGATATTAACTTCTTATTGGATACATTATTTGCAAATATCTTCTCCCATTCAGTAACCTGCCTTTTCATTTTGTTGATGGCGTCTTTTGATGTTCAGACGCTTTTTGGTTTGATGTGGTCCCATTAGTTTATTTCTGTTTTTGTTTCCCTTGTCTTTGAAGCCAAATCCAATATAAAACATTGCTAAGATTAAGGTCAAGGAGCTTGCCACCTGTGTTCTTCTAGGAGTTCTGTGGTTTTAGGTCTAACGTTCAAGTCTTTAATCCATTTTGAGCTGATTTTTGTATATGGTATAAGATGGTGGTTCAGTTTCATTCTTTTGCATGTGGCTGTCCAACACCCTTTATTGAAGAGACTGTCGTTTCCTCATTGTGTACTCTTTGCTCCTTTGTTATAAATTAATTACCAGGTAAGCATGGGTTTATTTCTGAGTTCTCTATTCTGTTTCTGTTTTTGTTTTCTTGCCAATACCATACTGTTTTGATTACTGTAGCTTTACAGAATAGTTGGAAATCAAGGACTATGATACCTCTTTGTTCTTTTTTCTCAAGATTTTTTAGCTATTTGAGTTTTCTTTGTGGTTCTATGTAAATTTGAGAATAATATTATCTAGTTCTGTAAAAAATGCCATTAGAATTTTTATAGAGATTGCACTGAATCTATAGATTGCTTTGGGTGGTATGGACATTTTAACAATATTAGTTCTTCTAATCCATGAACATGGAATAGCTTTCCATTTATTTGTATCTTCTTCAGTTTCTTCATCAGTCTCATAGTTTTCAATGTACATACAGGTCTTTCACATCCATGGTTAAATTTTTTCCTAAGTATTTTATTCTTTTTGATGCAATTGTAAATGAGATTGTTTTCTTGATTTCTCTAACAGTTTGTTATTAGTGTGTTAAAATGAAACATATTTTTGTATATTAATTTTGTATCTTGCAACTTTACTGAATTCATTTATTAGTTCTAACAGTTTTTTGTTGGAGGATTTAGAGTTTTCTATATATAGGATCATGTCATCTGCAAATACAGTTTTACTTCTTCCTTTCCAATTTGGATGCCTCTTATTTCTTTTTCTTGCCTAATTCCTCTGGCTAGGCCTTCCAATACTGTGTTGAATAAAAATGGGGAGAGTGAGCATCCTGTCTTTATCCAGATCTTAGAAGGAAAGCTTTCAGCTTTTCACCATTGAGTATGATGTTAACCATTGCTTGTCATATGAGGCTTTTATTATGGTGAGATATGTTCCCTCTGTACCCACTTCCTTGAGAGTTTTCATCATAAATGAATGAATTGTATCAAATGCTTTTTCTGTATCTACTGAGATGATCGTATGATTTTTATCTCTCATTTTGTTAATGCGTGATGTTGATTGACTTGTGGATGTTGAACCATCCTTGCATCTCTGGAATAAATCCCACTTGGCCATAGTGTATGATCCTTTCAATGTATCATTGAATTTGGTTTGCTAATGTTTTATTGAGGATTTTTGTATCAAAATTCATCAGGAATATTGACTTGTAATTGTCTTTTTTAATATTGTCTTTGTCTGGTTTTGGTATAAGTGTAATTCCAGCCTCATAAAATGAGTTTAGAAGTGTTTCCTGAAGTTTTTTCGAAAGAGTTTGAGAAGTATAGGTATTACATATTCTTTGAATGTTTGGTAGAACTCACCAGTGAAACTGTCTGGTCCTGCCCT